GTTTAACTTGGAACACACTTCTACGAACCTTCATTTCCCTCCATTCTCACACACGTGCATTTTATTTACCTCCACACCCCAAAGGCAGCAAACGTACAAGAGTGAAGAAAATTGGCTTACCATGGCTGTTACATCTGGATGTTTCCACGAGCCTGCCATTTTGATTGTAGCATGCCATCGCTTGGTAACGGTATCCTTGACCACATTCCTTGATGTCTCCTTGTACTTTCATTCCCAGCAACACCTCTGCTTTCCCTTCTGGTAAAATGCAGTCTGACCAGTTCCCCACGGGCTGTGCATTATACTTGTCACAAGGACAATACTGAGTCTCAACCAGGGAGTATAAATGAGAATTTTTACATTTTTCCTTCTTTTTACTTTTTCCTGTGGAGAAATTTACGTTGGGAAATATCATTATTAAGTTCAAGCATTCCTGTTTTCTCTTTTCCTAAAGTTCCTTTCTCCATTTTAACCATATACAATAGTAGCCTATTAAATAAATGCTATTTTCTCACCCCTCAGTGCTTTCTGTATAGGCTTTTGTTAGTACTGGGTGCTTTGCACAGTGACATTTTTCTTATTTTCTTATTTTAAAATAGTACATTTTTATAAGGCAATTAATTGTGCTAAATTTTATACTCTTTAAAATGATTTAAATCCTCTCAAATAATCATGTGCTTTCACTGACTGGGAAGTTTGAGATAGCTGCATAAATCTCTCCTTTATAACATGCAAAAATATGAAACAGAGAGTTGCTGCACGGAACTACACAGCTTCCTTGTTAATTCCAGGTAGATGGTATAGCTATATAAGATTACAATTCAGAAAATGGGTTTTTCGTATTTACTTTTCTGATTATGATTTTTGTATCTTTCAGTATTTTTGAAGAGTAATCATTTTGACACACTTGATGATTAATGTAGGAAATATCAATATTATTCAAAATGAAGATTTTAATNGGGGAGATGAACATTTAAGTGGCTCCCAAGGTATATTTTAAGCTTTGATTTTTTGAGAATAGATATATCACCTTTCAATGTAGAATCTACTATTATGAAGAATTCCAGACCTAACAGAATTGTGCCTCAAGTTTAAGACATTAAAAAATGGTGACTACATAGGAAATGGCCTAATGTAATTAAATTGGTGAAAGTAAAATTGCTTTATCAGTATAGTAATTGATAATATGACCCACAAATGGACAAAACAAATCAAATAGAAATGCCCTAAGGCCATTATTGAATAGCAGACTAGTGTCTTTGCACTGCATACATGTGGAGATCAATTTTATATTTAAATTAAAAGTACAAAGGGGTTTTTTATGAAAACCACTTCAAAACCCCATTTGTACCATCCAACTGGAAAGCTGATTTGGCTGAGACAAGGTAGTGGTCACAGAGAGAGCAAATTAGAGTGTGCCTAGGATTGAATGTCAAAGTTACAGCATTCCACTGACACCATCAGAAGTGACAGAACATTTTATATATATATATATATATATATATACATACATACATATATATATATATGTATGTATGTATATATTGAGAAAAAGTAATAATTTCCAAAGGAATCAGGCAATAGAGATTCAATTTTCTCAGACTTTACTTTGAGTAAATATGTTAGCAAACTAAAATATTCCATTGGATATCCATCATAGATCAGATTTAATGAGAAAGGAATGACGCTGGACAGGCATAAAAAAATTAACTGGAACTGTTCATTTACTTAAGGGTCTTAGATTCTTTCACAATCCTCATAGAGTTCAGTGCTATCATGGGTCCATCTTTTTTCTGTAAGTACTATTCTTCTGGAATACATTACTGCATTCTTCACGCTTTGATCGACAATGCCAAGTTGGGAAGTCTACTGCCTTTGGCCAATTTCAATTATTTTTGTACTTTTACTTTTTTATTTTAGTGATCAAACATTTTTGTGAGAATCACAAGATATTTTAGAAGTTTTTTTTCTAAAAATAAAATGGACCGTTAAGTGGCCTACGGAAACGCTCATGCATGTAATTAACAGATCAGGGTAAAAGTGAGAATATATGAGTTATTCTGAAAGCTCACACGTTATGTTAAAAACAAATGATTACCCTGGTGATTCACTGTGCATAACAATTTCAAATGTGAGCAAACACTTATATGCTACATTGCAGGAGAAACACATTTTTAAGGTAATCTTCACTTTTAAATTTTAACAACTAATTATGATCTTATACATTATCATATCACCTCAGAATGAGAAGTGCATTTACATTTTTCCTGATATCTAATTTATAGCACCTACATGTCGAGAATAAAATATTCAGTTATTTTTAGAGATGTTTCTCAAAGTATACCTATTACAAACACTAAATTCTTTTCTTTTAATAGTTTTTGTCCTAAATGCATAGAATAATCTTAAACTTAGCAATGCACATATATTAACCTGAAAAATACTTATATCTAGAGCTTAAGTATCATGGAGACTTTCGGGTTTATATCATTAGACTTTCATAAAATAGGAATTCTGAGATAAGCTAAAAAATAGGATAAGGCTTTCAAAACCTTCTTTGTCAAGATTAAGAGATTTCAACAAATGTGTCACTATGATACCTCAATGGTTTATAAACGTGAGATGGCCCTATAAGTTCACATTGATTTCTGAACCATATAATGAAACCAGAGGAACACCATTCTAGTACAAGTTCTTTCAGCAAGATTGGAGGGTAACTGCTATGTGCCTCCCTCCTAGCAATTTAATTCGTCT